TCTTCCCTCTTCTCTGTCCCTGACACATCTCCCCTCCTCTTGGGCATGTGGCTCCTTTTATACGCTCCAGGGCTCCACCCCTGAAGTCTTCCAGACCTGACAGTTTCGTCTTCAATCAGGTCCGGGAGAGCTCTTCTCCCCCTCCCCTCAGGTGTTGGCTACAAATATCTAACTTGGGATCCTTAAAATTCTGTTTTTTTAGATGGATTGAAACACTGTAATGAAGTTAAATCATAAACCTTGGGGCTGGTCCCCCCACATGCACGTGCTGGTCAAGTTGGGGATCAAGAGGGGGCCCCTGAGGGTCATTTTTCACTGCTTTTTATCTGTCCTTGGCAGACTTTGGTGACTCCCCAGTTTTCAGGTTTGCCCAATCCAGGGGTCATTGACCCTCGTGGGACTTCCTCCTCGGTGGCTACTGGATGGCATCTGTCAGCCCCAGGGGTTGTCCTCATGTACGTACAGGTTTGGGAGTCCATTGATGAATTTTGAATAGGGCTCTGGGAGCGGTTGATCTGGAGATATTCATCCCAAAAGTTGGTCCCCGGCGTTGATTAACTCAGACCAGGGCTTCTAGCCCTTGAACAGTAAGGTTTAGAGATTTCCCGGTTGTTACATTGTCTTCTATTGATTTCTTCGGTTGGTTGATCTGCGTCTTTCCTAGGTGTTAATTGCTGTCTGCTACTGTGTTACGCATTCAATCACTGATTCACTCGCTCTTTCAGGGGCCCGCCTGATACAGGGAAGCAGCAGTTTGACTCCTGCCCTTGTTAACATTGTTACTAAACACATGTAGTTGAAAGTTGAAGAGTATAAAATATAAGCTACAAAAGTAATGCCATGGCACACAAATAGATAAAAATACCAAACTACAAGGGGAGATACAAAATGCACACACACAAATTTTAAAACACAAATCCTTATCTTAAAGTGAAAGAAAGAGGAAGGAAGAAAAGGTAGAAGAGGAAAAACATATTCAAAGAGGGGAGAGTAAATGCAGGCAAGAGGAAAAGGGGGCTTTCTGCTACACAGGAAAGGGTTGCTATGTTATTTCTCTTGCTGTCTCCTGATTGGTGGATGGGCTCCATCAATCAAAACAGTAGGATCTCAAGTATAAATGTCTCCACTGTGGAGTTTGATTTTATGGTTTTATTTTATGGGTGACTTAGAGGTTGAATCTGACCTCTCCTGTTTTATTTGTTGGGTTTTCAGACCTCAGGTTCAAATGTCAGTGCAAATTTACTCAAGGTTAAACTTGACCAAGCAGATTAAAAATTCATGACATTCCTTGAACAACAGGGATAAAAGGCCTCTTGCAGTTAGGCAGAATCACCTCTAACCTCCCTTTTATCTATCACTAGGGGCTTTGAAGCTGGTTAAGAACCAAATCAATGCCAGCAGGCTACTGAATCCCCTGGTTAAAAAGAGGAAGCTGCCCTTAGAGGGGAGGAAGTGGAAATGTTTATAATAGTAGGCTCATCTGAGGCTTCCTGGAGAAGGGGGTTTGGAAGCCTGTACTGTGAGTAGTTGGAAGAGCCACAGGACAAAAGGCCTAGCTAGGATGGGTGGTGGGATGTGCTTTGGGTGCACAGAACAGAATGCAACTGTGGTGATGCAGGGTTGCTGTGGTTTTTGCAGCTCCTTATGTGGTATTTTAGGCAAAGGATTTGGGTGCAGCTGTAGTGCTCTCACTTTCAAAGCCTGTTGAGCTAGCACTGCTGAGAATATTGCCCGAATGGTCCTTGTAAGTCAAGTCCTGTGTTTTCCTGTAAGACAAATCTCCAACACCGGGAGCCTCCCACCTCTCTCCAGGAAGAGGGTAGTGCTTCCAAAAAGTTCTTGGTCTCCCTCCTGTTTCAGCCAGGTAGGAGAATGAGTTTTGAGGAAGCAGCTGCAATTGAGCTCAGCTTATTCTATCCAGGTCCCTCAAAGCTTCTAGTTGATGAAAGCAGGAAAGTTTCTTTGAGTAGATGTGATATCTTTTATTAGACTAACTGAGTAGTAGGAAAAGTTCTTTGCAAGCTTTCAGGCACAAGCACCCTTCTTCAGGCATAGGGAATCTTTGCGGGTCTGAGATCTCCAAGGTTGATGAGAATTATTTTTACTCTTTTTTTACCTTTACTGAGCTGGGGTATATTCATGCCCATTGTTGCACTTAGAAAGTGAGTTTTTAAACCTAGTGCCCCAAGAATTGACACAACACCCACTTCATCAATAGCAGAAAGGCTTTAATAACAATACCACAAGCAAGCTATAAAACTAAATGACAGAAAAGCCCCCTTCCCAAAATAAAATGAGCTACTTCACAATGTCCTAGTACATATTTAGCTGCAGCAGTGTTTTCTCACCAATGCAGGCAGAGGAAGCTGGTCCAGTCTTGCAGCTTTTACCAAGCAGGTTCCGCTGCTGGGTGAGATGTTACAGTGATCTTCCTCTCTTTCTCTTGGAGTGCATACCTTGCTGGCAAATTTGCTTAGCTCTTATACTGTTTAATTGTATAACTTCAAAGCACTTTTCCTTGATAGTTGGCTGATTTAAGACCAAACAAAACAGGGAGGAAAAGGGTGACCATCATATTACAATTGTTAAATTGTCTGGCTTCTGTTTCTGGATCTGTCTAGGTGTGAAGACTTATGTTTCTCTGCAGCCCCTGCAATTATAAGTCAGTTTCAGGTAATGAGTCTTGAGTGGTCAAACAGGATTCTTAGAGGCAGTACTGGAACTGTCTTTGGGTATTTATCAATGTGGCAAATTTGCAATAGCTTGTACCGGTGATGGTGTATTTACAAAACTCCAGACATACATTGAATAGTTGCGATATTTGTAACACCTTAGACACTGGATGCCTGTTTTGAGAAATGTGAGCAAGGTGCATGTCATGTACAAGGCATTTTTCCTGTACCTTTGTATTTTCCTTAGCTGCTAGGCCAATTGAAATGGATATGTAGTTTCCTTGCCTTTACTGGCTTAGCCTTTTCTTTGGCTTTCTTAGATACACACATGTGATGAGCATGTTAGGTCTGTTAACACTTTTCTTGATTTTACATAATTTAGCAGAGAGAATAAAACCAATTGGGGTTGCTCTATTTTGTATGGTCCCAGCTGCCACTTTGCATTTTTGTGCAAGATGCACTGCTATTTTAATTTGGTCATAAAGATTCTATGTGTAGGCCTGGCCAAGCTGTTACTGTATTCACTACCTACATGTGAGAAGCTTCCCAGCTCATTAGCAACCTCTCAGACATCCCTAGTCAATGCTAATATTACTTGTCCAGGAGTGTAGCTCCTGTTTTAGACAGATGAGTTGAACTAATGGAGATCTGGTCTTTTTTTAATCTCACTCCCTGAATGCAGTTAGTCTTCCAGATGGTTACCCAGTATCTATCTGGATCCCTTCTTAGATGCCCTAACCAAAAGAGAGCAAAAAAACAAGGAGTAGCAAAGTGGCCCAATGCTATTTGAAACACAAATGTTCAGCAGTTATTCCACGGCCCTTCTCTGAATTCTGAGGTGTCACTGATGTGGGGTGCTCTATGTAAAAACAAAAGAAGAAGAAAACAAACAGCCCTCCCTGCCCCCATCATTAAAAGAAAGTTGATTGAGTGGCTGGCATTGAGCATTCAGGTTGTTTTATAGATGTGCGCGCGCGGGGGGGGGGGCTCTTTAATTAGCGCAACTGAGAGGTGTGCTAATTAAAAGTGCCCGAAGTGTCAGGTGTATCAGCATCCCCGTGCTGAAAAATGGCAGCAGGGCGCTTTGAACTAAAGCTTGTCGAACAAGTTTAAAGCGCCCCATCACCATTTTTCAGTGCAGGGTCACTGATGCACGTGACAGTAGAGTCTGCTGGAGTGTGGCAATTTTACCATGCTCCAGCAGACTTGATTATTTGCATCTGCCCCAATGTGCTGTAATTACAAATGAAATTACAGCATGTCGGAGCAGACTCCCTTCACGTGTATAGGAGCCCTCAAAACTTAGCAAGTAGTATCAAAGGTAATACTGGTTGTCATCAACCCCTCCATTCAAGGACGGTCTCCGCTACAACTCATTGATGGGTCCTGAGGTGACTTAGAGTCCAATCCTCAATAATGTCAACTCTCATGAAAAAAATCATGAAACTCCTGATTTCCAAGTCAAATTAACTCTGACTTGCTATCTCCTGATAGACAGATCAAATCTTGGGATTTTTTTCTTTTGGCGCAGCTACAGACTGCCAAGCTGGTAAATCTGTGAAGGGGAAGGGGCCGGGGGGGAAAGGAAGGGGTGGGGGAGGGTGGGAAGATGGAGGCCCCAACACTGAGGGAGGAGTGGGGCAGGGCACGGGGGGGACGG